GCAGAGGAGGGGACAAGGCCATTATTACGGGTTCCGGCAGAGGACCGACACCCAGAAGACGCCGGCGGCCAGGAAGCAGGTGGACATGACCAGGTAGAGCTTGAAAAGCGGGATCTCCGCCGCCGACAGGAAGCCCTCCGGGTTTCTCTCACGGATCATCACCTGGGGAGGAGCCCGGGGTCAGGCGGCCACGCCGGGTGGGTTCTGGCTCCCTGGCGGGGCAGGCTGCTCCTAGGGGCCGCCCACCTGGAGTACCTCGGCATGCCTGAACCTGTGCACACCCCCCCACCCCTCGGCTGCCCAGTCAGCCCAGCGGTTACGCTGCGTGTGACTCAAGGCACGGTGTTGTGGGGAGACGTGTTCAGTGTGGAGGCAGCACACCCATGCCACCCCACATCCACCTGAGCTGCCCCGCCCCTCAGCAAGCCCCACCCACCGCAGCCTGCTCCTGCCCCACCCCTGCTCCTGCTCCTGCCCCTGCCCTCGGTCACCGAGAGGTCGAATGGACGCTCCTGTCCTGGTATGGAGTTGTAGCAGTTGTGGAAGTTGAGGTTGTACTGGCCTTCCTCCTCCGCGGAACCGATCAGCACGTGGAACTGGGGGGTGGGAGAGGGGGCATCAGCCTGGGGGTTGGGGTGCCAGAGGAGCAGGTGGGGGCATCTCAACCTGGGGGGGTAGAGTACCAGAGGAGGGGGTGGGTTGGGGGGGTCTCAGCCTGAGGGACAAGGTGCCAGGGAGGGGGTTGGGGTCTTAGCCTGGGTAGCAGGGTGCCAGGGAAGGGGGTTGGGGTCTCAGCCTGAGGGACAAGGTGCCAGGGAGGGGGTTGGGGTCTCAGCCTGGGATGGGATGCCAGGGAAGGGGGTTGGGGTCTCAGCCTGGGATGGGATGCCAGGGGAGCGTGTTGCGGGGGTCTCAGCCTGGGGTGTGGGCAGTGTGCCAGGCGAGGGGGCCGGGGTGCCGCAAACGCTCACACTGAAGTTGTAGGTGTTGTTCAGGTGGCCCAGGTCCAGCACCAGCTCCTGGTCCTTGACGGGGGGAGCCTGGGGGGACGGAGCGTGGTGAGCCCCTACACACTCTTGGCGGGGGGACAGTCCTCCCTCTGTCCTTCCCTCCCTCCTGCCGCCCCCGGACCTGAGCATCTGCAGGCTTTGACGTGGCCACGCTGGGCACTGTGGGCAACAGGAAGACAGGGTTTTAAGAGCGGGACAGCGGGGAGGTGGGGCGCCCTGCTGGCGTGGCCTGCCCTGACTCACCGGGGACTGACTCTGGCTTGGGGAGCCCCAGCCTGGAGGGCACGTCAGGCAGGAGCCCGGGAGAGATGAATAATTTGTTCTGTTCCCCATACTTCCGCACCTGCACCCTGGGGAAGGGGTGGGGAGAGGGCTGAGTGACGGGCTCCCGGGCACCCGGAGCGGCCCCTCCCAGAGCGGTCCATGCCGGCCCGCCCGAGCCCCTCTGGCCCCCAACCCACCTGAGGTCCTTGATGTTGATAAGGAACAAGACCAGGAAACTGCTACTATTTCTTAGGAGAACACACTCGTGGGAGTCCCGGGTCTGCGGGGAGGGGGTGGGTGGGCGATTGGGGGGTTGCGCCCCCCCCCCGTTATCCTCTCCCTCCTTCCCACCAGGCTCACTTCATGTACCCGCCACCCGCCGCCCAACCGACTCACGGAGTAGGAGCGCACGCTGCCAGAGTGAACTCGGTTCAGACTGAACCCCACCTGGGGGGCAGAAAGAAGAGGGGGGAGTGTGTAGGGGGCCCCCATCTGTCAGCAGCCACACACATCACGACTTCTAGAAGAGTTGAGATGCCACTCCTCTGGATTTTCCAAGCCGCCTGCCCGCCACGTTTCAACCCATGCCTCCATATGCGTGCAAGCATATGCACGCGTGTCGGGGTGCGAGTTGTGCTGGGGTGTGCATGATGAAGTGTATGAGTGTGTGTGTGTGTGTGAGGGCGCCCGCTGCCTCCCCCTCCTCCCCTCCGGCAGCTCCTCACCAGGGGAGCCTTCTCCGGGGGCTCCAGGGGGCCCAGCCGCAGCAGGCTCAGCTCCACCTCCAGGGAGCCGTTGGCATAGAAGCCGAAGCTGTTGAGCGGGATGTCTGCTCGCTTCTCCCCCTGCCGGGGACCAAGCAGGTGGCTCAGCCGCGGGGCGCTGGCACCCAGCACCCCAGGAGTCCTCCCCAGGGCCCTCTACAATCCAACACAGGTGGCACAGAGTGTCCGGGGAGGCCGAGCGGGTAGCCCCAGGAGGAAGGGGTGGCCATGGGGAGACACCAATCCCAGTTCTCAGGAGGGCAATCCTGGGGTGCTGCTGGGAGGTTCCCCCCAGACACACACACACACACACACACACACACACACATCCAGGCTGGGTTTCATCTCCCAGAAAACCTCTGGCTGCTAAAGCCGAGCCCTGACCCCATGATCCCCATGAGTGTCCAGGGAATCCCCTGAGTGATGCCAGGGCCACCCTACAAGCCTTTGAGGGGGTCCCCGTAAAGGTGCCCGGCCGGGCAGCTGCACCAGTGGACAGGAGGTGAGGAGGTGGTTGGGAGTCCCGGTGAAGGTGCCTGCTGGCCTGGCAGCTGCACCCGGGCGATGGTCAGGAGGTGAGGGGGTCCCCGTGCAGGTGCCCAGCAGGGCGGACAGCTGCACCCAGTGGACAGGAGGTGAGGGGGGTCCTGTGGAGGTGCACCCAGTGGTCAAGAGGCGAGGGGGTGATTGGGAGTCCCCGTGCAGATGCCCAGCAGGGCGGACAGCTGCACCCAGTGGACAGGAGGTGAGGGGGTCGTGGGGGAGTCCCCGTGGAGGTGCCCACTGGCCTGGCAGCTGCACCCGGTGGTCAGGAGGTGAGGGGGTCCCCGTGCAGGTGTCCAGCAGGGCGGACAGCTGCACCCGGTGGTCAGGAGGTGAGGGGGTCGTGGGGGAGTCCCCGTGGAGGTGCCCACTGGCCGGCTCGCTGCACCCGGTGGTCAGGAGGTGAGGGGGTCCCCGTGGAGGTGCCCACTGGCCTGGCAGCTGCACCCGGTGGTCAGGAGGTGAGGGGGTCCCCGTGGAGGTGCCCAGCAGGGCGGACAGCTGCACCCAGTGGACAGGAGGTGAGGGGGTCGTGGGGGAGTCCCCGTGGAGGTGCCCACTGGCCTGGCAGCTGCACCCGGTGGTCAGGAGGTGAGGGGGCCGTGGGGGGGGTCCCCGTGGAGGTGCCCGCTGGCCGGCTCGCTGCACCCGGTGGTCAGGAGGTGGGGGGTGTCCCCGTGGAGGTGCCCGCTGGCCGGCCCGCTGCACCCGGTGGTCAGGAGGTGAGGGGGGTCCCGTGGAGGTGCCCACTGGCCTGGCAGCTGCACCCGGTGGTCAGGAGGTGAGGGGGCCGTGGGGGGGGTCCCCGTGGAGGTGCCCGCTGGCCGGCCCGCTGCACCCGGTGGTCAGCAGGTCGCGTGTGCGGGGGGTGGACCTCGGACGCGACCACGCGGGGCTGGTCGTGGGGGGCGGCGCCGGGCCGCTCCATCCCGCCCCGGGAGCGGACGAGCCCACTGGAGCCAGGGGTCCGGTGGCGGGGGCTCACCGTCAGCGCCAGCCGGTGGATGCGCCCCGAGCAGCCGCCCAGCAGCAGCGGCAGCAGCAGCAGCGGCAGCGGCAGCGGCGGGAGGCCCGGCCCCCGACACCCGGAGGGACGCCCGCCGCCGAGCCCCCTCCTCTCGCTCCCGGCCATCGCTGGAGCCGCCGCCTCCCCCTGACACCGCCCCCTGGGCGTCCGCCCCCGCGGGCGAGCCAATCACCACACGGAGGGGGCACCTGAGACCAATCGGTGAGCGCCTTTGCTCGGGGTGACAGCAGACGGACAGCCCGAGTGACGAATGGCAGTAGTCAGCCTCACTGAGTCCCGCCTCCACCGCCACCAATCACTACAAAGATGATCCCGGATATGGTTTGATAGACAGTCTTGCCAGCCTATCAGAGCGCACCTGCCATCCGGCTCGCGAAGCGGAATTCCTCTCTGGCAGCTTGTAACGGTCTAGGACTACATTTCCCACAATGCCATCACGGGCGACACGCCACGAAGGAACTACATTTCCCAGGATCCCCTTCTTCCCCGCCCCGGGGACCATGGGGGTCCCCCCCCAGTGCTTTTTTGTGGGGGACCCTCCGGTCTCGCTGCACCCCCAGGTCGTCCCCGAACACGGGGCGGCCCAAGCCTGGCCCCGGGATGACCTCTGACCTCAGGGGCTCCCCCCAGATCCCGAACCCCGAAATTCAGCCCCGAGAACTCCCTGACCCTCGGCTCGTTGAGGCGGAGCGCCTGAGGCCTCGGGTGCTGACATGGTGCACCGGGCCGCGGGGCCAGGCCGCAGGGGCCGCCCTCCTGCTCCCCGCCGGCCTCCCTGCGCCCCCCGCCGGCCTCCCTGCGCCCTCCGCCGGCCTCCCTGCGCCCCGAGGGGTGGGAGCTGCGGGGGTGCAGGGCGCACGCCTCCCCTCAGGCTCCAGCACGCCGCCTGGGCCTCCCCAAGGGCAGCGCGTCCTAGGTGGGAGGGACAGAGGATGCGGCCAGGCCGGACTGGACTAGATCGAAGTCCTTCTCGCCTCCTCCCTGCGGCCGGATGGAGCGCCAGGAGCCGGGGAGGAGCGGGAGGAGGACGGGCCGGAGCCGAGTGGACGCCTGCTGCGGGGCGGGGCGAGGGTCTGAAAGTGCGCGCGGGCCCTTTAAAGGGCTGGGGCGGGAGGGGGCGTGGCGTCCGCTGGGCCCCGCCCACAGAGCTTAGGGGGCCGTACCATCGTGGCTGGAGGCGTGTCCTCGTCGCTGCGGGGCGTGTCGCTGCGCGGCCGGGGGCGTGTCCTCTCGGGTGTTGGGCGTGTCGCTGCGCGGCCGGGGGCGTGTCCTCGCCGCTGGGGGCGTGCCCTGGCCCTGGGGGCGTGGCCGGGCGCTCCGCCCTCGGCCGCGGAGGGAGGGAGGCAGGGAGGCAGGGAGGGAGGGTAGCTGGCGGCGGCGGCGGCGGCGGGAGCAGCATGGACTGGGGCACCGAGTTATGGGTGAGTCCCGACACGGCCTTTCTCCAAGTTTCCCGGGCGCGACTTCAGGCTTTCCCACCTCCTCTTTGCTTCCCAGGCTGGATTTGGGGGGATGGTGGTGGTGGGGTAGGACACCCACCCGTTCCTCTTGCACCCCCCGGAGTCACTCGGGAGTTTTTTGGCGGGGGGTGGGTAGAAGCGAAGGGAGGAGCGGGCGTCTCAGGACCAGTATCCCTCACCCATAACATGGCGGGAGCGGCGGTCTGGGGGTAAACTGAGGCACGGGGCTGGCCCAGACTCCCAAGGAAAGGACCAGGCCCTGGGGCGGCCGGGCGAGGTCACCTATTTTTGGGCACCCGGGCCCGGCCGTGCGGCTTATCTTACGGCCCCTGGGCTCCTGCCCGCCGCGGCTGCTGCCGCCCTGCTGTGTGTGGAGGGCAGGGAGGAGGAGGGGACCCTCTGGCCACCCCTTTCCCCCCACGTGGGACGTACAAGGGCCGCCCCAGCACCTCCCAGCTGCCTCTGATGAGCACCCCGGGGGCGTTGAGAGCCAGGGGAACCCAGGGCGGGGCTGCCCGCACCCCACACCCTTGCCCTGTTGGAACCTGGGGCCCTGAAAGCCCCCGGGATTCCCTCCCTGCCTAAGACTGTCCTATCCCGACCTCCGACCCTATGCCCTCTCTGGTCAGTCCCAGCCCGCCCGCCTCCTCCTCCTCCTCCTCCTCCTCTTCCTTCCAGAGCTAGGAAGGGGAAACTGAGGCACGCACAGTGGTGGTGCTGGTAGTGGGGGTGGGTGTGGGCAGAGGACGTGGCTGTTCGGGTAACCCCCCCCAACACCGGCCTCTCAAGAGTTTAAGGGGGGACCCCACGAACTGCCAGAGATCGTGTCCTCCTGACTCACGCTGGGCAGGCCGGATTTTCCGGAATCTAGGGGGGATTAGGGGAGCCGGGGCGGAGGAGGGTGGTGGTTGTTGGGGGGTGGCGGCCGGCAAATGGCTTTGCGTCCCTCTTCCCTGCCCTCCCAGCCTTCTGGGCCAGCTAGGAGGCGTGCACATGGAGACCCCATCGTCCTGTAGGGGCCCCCCGGGTGGTGGCTCTGGCCCTTCCCGGGAAAGGGAGGGGGGGTTCCCGCCAGTTTCCTGCCTTCCCCCCCATCCCCTCCCCGCCCCGTGCGTTGTCTCCGGGGCGGCGCCTGGAAGCCACTCCTCCCGGGGCCAGCCGGCCGGCCTGCGGGGGCCATGGAGTGCACAGGTCTGCGGTGGATCCCGAGGGGTCCCCCAGGCCCTGACCTGGCTCTCTCCCCACCACCCCGCCCCGTCCCTGACACCCCCAGGACCAGTTTGAGGTCCTGGAGCGCCACACGCAGTGGGGGCTGGACCTGCTGGACAGATACGTGAAGTTTGTTCGGGAGCGCTCGGAGGTGGAGCAGGCCTATGCTAAGCAGCTGCGGTGAGGCCCCCCACCCCCCACCCCCCCGCAGCAGGGGGCAGGGGAGACCCCCGGGGTGCAGCCTGGAGGAGCTGGGGGGGTTGCTCAGCCTGCCACCTCCGTTGTCTACCTTCCGCCCCCCCTTAGGAACCTGGTGAAGAAATACTTGCCCAAGCGACTTCCCAAAGATGACCCCGAGGCCAAGTAAGGATGAGGACTTGGGGTACAGAGCTGGGCCCTGGGGAGGGGTGTGGGGGACCCTCCAGGTTGGAGTCCTGGTCCAGCTGCTGCTGGTCCCTGCGGGTTACAGAGCAAGTGGCCTTGAACCAGGGAGTGGGGTGGGGTGAGAGGAGTGGACTCTTCCAAGCCTTGGTTTGTCTCATGTGCGAAGTGGGTGCCAGGCCTGGCTGAGAGATGGCGTGAGGTCACTCCCTATGCTGTCATGGCCCCGCCCGTCCCCCTGCCCTCCTCCACACGATTCCAAGTCCCTCCTCAATTGCCCAAATCCAAAGCAGTTCTTGGAATCAGAAAAGTTTGCTAAGTCACTGGCAGCTAGGAGCAACTTGGAGTTGTCCAAGTCACCTGTGGGGTAGACAGACCCTGCCCCGTGTGCACCTGCTGTTCCCTGAGTGACACATTGTAAACCATCACTGCCCACCTGGGCTGGATGACAGGTGAACACTACCCGTCTCAAGGGGGCAGTGATGGAGGGAGGGAGAGAGAGGATGCTCCCATCTGTGCTGGTTGTACGAGCCCTGCCCTGGGCCAGGCTGGGTTTCTCACGTTGAGAGGGTAGGGACCCCAAGCCCTTAGTGGTCCCCTGCTGCCTGCCTCCCTGGTGGGCATGTGCAGGCACGATTTGGACGCTGGCCATGTCCTTAGTCCTCGGACACCCGCAGCCCGCCGGACGAGGTGTCTAAGCCCCCTGTTGATGGCCTGCTTTCTAAAACTTGCGGAATTCCGCAGCGCACCTGTTACAGCCTGGAGTGGTGCTGGAGGGCAGTCAGGGTTACAGAGCAGAACCCCATCTCTGCTTCGGGGTTGCGTGGTGGTGCTGGGGGGCTGTGGTGGTGGCCCCCGGGGGACCTCTTCATCCCTCCCCCCCCACGCCCCCAGGTTCAGCCAGCAGCAATCCTTCGTACAGATCCTTCAGGAAGTTAACGACTTTGCCGGCCAGCGGGAGCTGGTGGCTGAAAACCTCAGTCTGCGCGTGTGCCTCGAGCTGGCCAAGTACTCGCAGGAGATGAAGCAGGAGCGCAAGATGGTGAGGTGTTGGGGTGCGAGGGGGGCGCTGGCTGAGGGTCCCCCTTTCCACCCAGCAAGCCCCGCAGCGCATGCGCGCGCGCCTCACCGCGCTGGTCTTTGCGCAGCACTTCCAGGAAGGCCGGCGGGCCCAGCAGCAGCTGGAGAACGGCTTGAAACAGCTGGAGAACGTAAGAGGCAGGCAGGGCGGTGGGTGGGATTTCCTGTCCTCCCCGGGGGTCCTCCCCAACTTGGCCTGCCAGAGGTGGGGGTCCACTGGCAGCCCCTTCAGGCCGCGCTGTTCTGGCTTCTACCCCAGAGCAAGCGCAAGTTCGAGCGAGACTGTCGGGAGGCGGAGAAGGCGGCCCAGACGGCCGAGCGCCTGGACCAGGACATCAACGCCACCAAGGCCGACGTGGAGAAGGTGCGTGCGCTATGCGCGTGCCTGCGTGTGTGCCTCTGTTGTATAGGGGCATGGGGGGGGGGGCGGGTCGGCAGGGCCGACTGGGCGCCTGGGTGGGCTTTGGCTGGCCGGCCACTCAACCACCCGACACCCCACCGTCCCCCTGTGCCCTCTTAGGCCAAGCAGCAGGCCCATCTGCGGAGTCACATGGCCGAGGAAAGCAAGAATGAGTACGCCGCTCAGCTGCAGCGCTTCAACCGCGAGCAAGCTCACTTCTACTTCTCGCAGATGCCCCAGGTCTTCGATGTGAGAGCCACCGCCAAGCGCCATCACCCACACACACCCCAGCCAGCTCCTACACCTCCCGCAGAACCCCAGCCCCTAGACCCAAAGGCAACATACTAGCAACGAGCCAGCTTGTTCCCCTAAGTCCAAGCTCCTACCACGTGGGGAAGAAATCTGATTTGTCCCTCCACAGCTGCCCCCTCCCCTTTATCTAGCCGTGTTGACTCTCCTAGGGGCCCAGGGAGGGTCTTCCCCGGGTCTGCTCCCACCGTTGGAATCTGTTTGTTTGCCTTTGGGGCTTGGGGGTGGGGCCGGCTTGAGGAGCAGCCTCGTGTTTGCGGAGTGAGTCACCCCTACCCCTCCGTCAGCCACCTCTGTCCTCCCCCTCCCCCCATCACCCCTGCAGAAGCTGCAGGACCTGGACGAGCGAAGGGCCTCCCGTCTGGGGGCCGGCTATGGGCTCCTGGCCGAGGCGGAGCTGCAGGTGGGCCCCATCATTGCCAAGTGCTTGGAAGGCATGAAGGTGGCAGCTGAAGCCGTGGACGCCAAGAACGTGGGTGCCTCAGCCGGGTCCAGGGGCGGGATGGTGAAGACGGGGAAGGGGGGGACCCCAGAATTACATGCCTCTGCATTGCTGACCCCCCCCACACACCCCTATCCTGCTAGGACTCCCAGCTCCTCATAGAACTGCACAAATCTGGCTTCGTGAGGCCTGGCGACGTGGAATTTGAAGACTTCAGCCAGCCAATGAACCGCGCGCCTTCTGACAGCAGCCTGGGCACCCCCTCGGACGGGCGGCCTGAACTCCGTGGCCAGGGTCGCAGCCGGGCCAAACGCTGGCCCTTCGGCAAGAAGACCAAGGTGGGAGGGGAGCTGGGGTGGAAGTGGATGGTGTGTGTTGTGGGGGGGGTGGCGGAATAGGACCCACTGACTCCACCCCGGCCGCCTGGACGCCGAGTCCCCGGCAGGAATTTTCCCCTTGGCTGCCAGCCCGGGCTGGAGGGAAGGAGGACGGACGGGGAGTCCCCTGAGGCGGGGAGGGGGGTATGGGGGGGTGTGGTGGCCTGTGGTGTCAGCCTGCCGCTTGCCAGGAGAGAAGTCCTACTTGTGGGGTTCGGGACACCGCTGCCTGGAAGCCCCCTTGGGTTTCCTCTGATCCTATGCACTCCCTCCCCTGCCCCCGCCCACAACTTTGTTTCCCAAACAAACCCCACCCCTCCTCCCAGTCTGTGCCTTCAACAATCCTTCCTCCTCCTCCTCCTCTTCCTCCTCATCCTCCAGCCGGACCTTGGGTTTTCCAAAGAGCCATCCTTGGCACGGGCACCTGCAGGCCCCCTTCCCCTCTGCTCGTCTCCCACCATGCACCCCTCCCTCCGAGCTGCCTTCCTCCCCTGCCCGCTGCTGCTGTGAGCTGGGAAGTCAGGGGGGCGGGCAGGCGACAGCAGGGTCACAGGGGACACCGGGAGGTGCAGGTGGTCGAGGTCGCAGGTGGGGGGGTCTGGCCTCCCAGCTCACAGCCACGTCCCCTCCCTGGAGTTCCTGTCCACTCTTGCACAGCATCTTCTGAGTATGATTGTATATCTTAAGTTGTGTTTTTTTCTTACTGTGTTTTTTTTTTCTTTTCTTGTCTTTTTTTTTTTTTTGAAACTTTTCTTGATTGTTTTCATCTTTCCTCTGTCTCCTCTCTCACTACACACACACACACACACACACACACACACACCCCAACCCTGATCCCTGGCCTCACCTCTTCTCCCATTCCCTGGCCCCCGCCGGTAGCCGCGTCCCCCACCTTTCTCTCCATCGGGGGGTTCACTGCCCTCGGCACTCCCTAACGGGCCCCCGTCCCCCCGCTCCGGCCTCGACCCCTTGGCCCTACTGAGCGAGATCAGTAAGTCGGTCAAACCGCGGCTAGCATCCTTCCGCAGCCTCCGAGGCGCTCGTGGGGTAAGTGCGGCCCCCCCGGGGGCGGCTGGGCCCCCTCCTGCCTTGCTTGGCTCTCTGCATGGCTGCCCCCCCATACCCCCAGAACCGCGGCTGGGGAGGCACGTGGACTAGTGCGTGCGTGCGTGTGTGTGCGTGTGTGTGTGTGTCCACAGAGTGTGCAAAGCAGCCGGGCCGTTGAAGAGCCAGGGGCTCACATTCCTTCCCCCCTCCCCACCCCGCCTCCCCCCTGCAGACAGTGGTCACTGAGGACTTCAGCCACCTGCCACCCGAGCAGCAGAGGAAGCGTCTTCAACAGCAGCTGGAAGAGCGCGGGCGAGAGCTCCAGAAGGAGATAGACCAGAGGTAAGGAAGTGGCCCACCGAGCAAGCCCCCCGAGCAAGCCCCCCGAGCAAGCCCCAGGCCCTGGTGGGTTTACAGTTAACGCCAAACACACCGTGAACCAAGAATTCAAGATTCATTTGGAAGGTGAAGTCAGAGAGGCCTCGGATGTGCGGGTTCACTGGATATGAGCGGTTTCCAAGGCCAGGGCTCCGCCTGGCTCTCCCACATGGATGCAGGGAGCCGTCCTCCACTGCTTTCCCACGCGCGTCAGCAGGGAGCTGGGTGGGAAGTGGAGCAGCCGGGACCCCAAGTGGCCATCCCATAGGAGACGGCCAGTGACCCAGGCTGACCGGAACGCTGGCTTGTCCCGTTTTCTCACAAGTCGTCCCAGCAAACAGAGAAAGAGCAGAAATCGCCTTTAAACAAAAATATTTAGAAAAACTTACGGGGTCTTGATTCTGAATCAGGGAGCAGAGAGGAGCCCAAAATGAGGGGCCCGTGTTTCCTCGCTACGGATCTTCGATATAACACCCCAAGCCAGGCCAGTCTCGGGGTACGCAGACTGTTCCAGAAGGTGCCGGCTGCACAGCCACGTGCACCTGCTGCAGGCCACAGAACGGCCCCCTTCTCACTGGCTGTGTGACCCACGTCACGCGTTCTGTCCCCGTGAAATGCTTCAGGACACACACACACACACACACACTGAGCCACGCAAAGCCGGCTCGATACCAACCAAACAACCCAAAACAAAGAAGCAAATGCTTTTCCACCCAATGGCTCAAATGCTTCAAAAAATATTAACAATAAGACACTTTGCCAGAATTTGGCCTTTTTTTTTTTTTTTTTTTTCCCCAAGCTACAAGTTTCTCTTCCCAGTTTTGTTATGTAAGCGGAAGAGACGCCTGCCACTGGGCAGCCGCTGGCCAATGTGATTCATTTTTTTTTTTTTAATTAATTGACCACGTCTTGCAGACCCAAATAGCTTATGTTGGCTGCCGTGGGGTCTGCCTTGGAACTCGGGGTGCAGCTCTGTCACAGTGTCTGCCTCCCTTTGGCTGGCCTCCCTCGGGGTGCTGGGGGGCTCAGGAGTCCAGGAGCCCAGGGCTGCTACGGCCCACAGACCTGCTTTTGTAGGCATCACCACCCACCTGCTACAGAAACGCAGGCAAATCGGAAGGCCGGCTGTGTTCCCGTTGAGTGCAAAACCCTTTTTTGCTTTTAATCCACAACATTTCTCCCCCTCCCCAAATACGTATTTTCTAAGAAATTTGGGTGTGTGATTTCAAAAATGACTCATATCAATTTTTTTTTAAAGATCTTTTTATTGGAAAGGCAAATTTATCCACTGGTTCACCCTTCAAGTGGCCGCAACGGCCGGAGCTGAGCCGACCTGAAGCCAGGAGCCCTGAGCTTCTTCCCACTCTCCCACGCGGGTGCAGGGTCCCAAGGCTTTGGGCCATCCTCCACTGCTTTCCCAGGCCACAGGCAGGGAGCTGGATGGGAAGTGGAGCAGCCGGGACTCGAACCGGAGCCCCTATGGGATGCCGACGCTTGCAGCGGTGGCTTAACCGGCTCCACCGCAGCCCTGGGCTCCTCCCCAAGTTGTTTGTTTTTTTGTAAATTCACACGGGGGTCACAGCACACATTACAGCTCTGACCGTGCACGCGCTCACTCTCTCCCTCCGTGGCGCCCCTGAAGGGAAGCCTTAAAGAGAATGAAGGATGTGTATGAGAAGACCCCCCAGATGGGGGACCCCGCCAGCCTGGAGCCCCAGATTGCAGAGACGCTAAGCAACATCGAGAGACTGAAGCTGGAAGTGCAGAAGTATGAGGTAAGGAGCGGATTGAGTCATGGCTTCGTCTGCCTGGCTGCCTGGCTGCCTGGCTGCCTGCCTGCGGGGAGGGAGCAGAGCAGGAGAGGTGGGGGCCGGGACGCCAGCTGTTCCTCATGAGGAGTTTGGGTGTGCATGGCTCAGAACTGACCCCACAGCCCTGCCCTGGGACCCACCCAAGCTGGAGTCCTCCCCAGGCGGCTGGCCTCCCATCACCTCCCCTCCTCTCCTCCAGACTTGGCTGGCTGAAGCTGAGAGCAGAGTCCTAAGCAGCCGAGGGGACAGCCTGGGCCGCCACGCGCGGCCCCCAGACCCGCCAGCCAGTGCCCCGCCCGACAGCGACAGCCACAAGAACGAAGGGCAGGATGACAATAAGGCCAGGTTGGGACGGGCGGTGGGGGGCGGCCGGAGGGGCCCAGGAGGGGCCTTGCCCCTGCCCGGGCTCTTGTTGGCTTGCCCCCCTCCTCATCTCCTGGCCGTGTGCAGCTCCCAGGAACCCACGTCCTCGGAGGAGGGGCAGGACGCCCCCATCTACACGGAGTTCGATGAAGATTTTGAGGAAGAGCCTGCGTCCCCCATTGGCCACTGTGTAGCCATTTACCACTTCGAAGGTGGGCAGCGGGCCGGGCAGCCCTCCTTGCTTCCCTCCCCCTCGGGCCAGGCACCCGCTCATTCCCCCTCTGGGTCCCCAGGCTCCAGCGAAGGCACCATCTCCATGGCAGAGGGGGAGGACCTGAGCCTCATCGAAGAAGATAAAGGGGACGGCTGGACGCGCGTGCGGAGGAAACAGGGCGGCGAAGGCTACGTACCCACTTCCTACCTCCGGGTGTCGCTCAACTGAGGCCGGCCCGGGGCGGGCGCCGGCTTGGGGGGGTGCATTTGGGGGACGTGATGGCTGCTGCCGCCGTAGCTGCTGCTGCTGCTGCTGCTGCTGGACCACGGGGGTGGGGGGCGGGCGCCCCTGGACCTATGCACTTTATTTCCGCCCCCCTCGTGGCTTCGGCTGACACCTGTGTAATCTGCGCTGTGCCCACCGCCCCAAGGCCACCTGCCGCCCCAGGTAGACCCGTCCGCCCCCCCCACAAACACACAACACTGTGCCTTCTTCCACCTGTTGTACATACTCGTGTCCCCCCTCCCCATCTTCCCACCTCTTGGCGTGGGCCGTGTCGTTTTATATTATATATTAAAAGCAGAAGTTCTAGAAAGCTCTGGTCTTGCACCTTATGGGTAGGGGAGGGGGGTGAAGGTTCCCAATGCTGTTCTCCCACACAGCTTAAGGTTAAGGTTGGAAGGGTGAGGGCGGTGCAGGGTCCAGTGCCCAGAGAAGCCTGGTGGCGTGGTGGGGCAGACTGGCACGCCTTCCCCCCAGTACGTGGCCTTGTACACTTGGCATCCTTGCCTTTGGGGGATCCACGCTCAGCCATCCGGCTCCAGCCGCTGTGACAGGGCCCTGAGGACCCCCTGGAACTTGTCCAGGCGTTCTCTGCGCGGAGCCCTAGCGCCCCGGCTCCCCCACAGCAGCCGCTGCACGAAGCTGGTGGTGAAGGCTTCCCTCAGCTGCGGGTCCGGCTGGAATCCTGGCAAGACAGGACCAGATGAGCTGTGGCAGCGGGGAAGTGCAGGGCCCCGGGCACCTGCCTCACTCCTCCCCCGCACCTGCTCCTGGGAGAACTTTGACCCAGCTGAGGCCCCATGGGGACTCTGCCCCCTCGGATGGGCTGATAGGGTCGGGGAGGACCTATAGGAACCTGGGTCTCTATGGAATGTAGGGTGGGGCGCCTGGGCGGCTCCAGGGCAGGGGCTAGCCGGCTCCAGGTGCTGGAGTGCAGGTGGACTGGGGCCCGAGGCAGGGCTGCCCAGGAGGTTAAGGTGCAAGCCGACCTGGTATGGGAGGGGGCAGGTCACCCTGGCGTGAAGGAATGGCTTGGGCCAGCCTGGGGGGGGGGTCCTTCAGAGCACAGCGTGGTTCCGAGCGCTTGGGGAGGAGTGGAGTGGAGGAGGGTGGATGCTGGAATGTCCTTTAGGGGCCCCGGGAGACTCTGCTTGGACAGTGCAAGGCCAGGCCCAGGCGTGCGCATCCTGCAGGGGCGCCCAAGAGGGGCAGGGAGCAGGTGCCTGGGGGTATCCGGGGAGGACAGCCCCTGGACCCCTGGTTTCCTGGACCCCTGGACCCCTGGACGTGCTCACCTCGCAGGCGCCCTGCTGCTGCCCGGCGGTACCTGGGCGCGTCCCGGGCCACCCGCCGTGCCCCGTGCAAGGTGCGCAGCAGGCGCCCGCAGCTCTCCTCCAGCGGCCCCGCTAGCTCCTCCTCGTCCTCCAGCAGGCGCACGGCGGGCGCCACGTGCGGCAGCGCCACCTCGCCCGGCTCGCAGGGGCCTGTGGAGGTCGGGGGGGAAGCAGGGTGTGGGGCGAGGGGACCAGCACCCCTGCAGGCTTAGGGGAAGGGGCTGTGTGGGGCGAGGGGTCCAGCACCCCTGCAGGCTTAGGGGAAGGGGCTGTGTGGGGCGAGGGGTCCAGCACCCCTGCAGGCTTAGGGGAAGGGGCTGGAGGCGGGAGCAGGGTGTGGGGCGAGGGGACCAGCACCCCTGCAGGCTTAGGGGAAGGGGCTGGGGGCGACAGGGTGTGGGGCTAGGGGACCAGCACCCCTGCAGGCTTAGGGGAAGGGGCTGGAGGCGGGAGCAGGGTGTGGGGCGCCGGGTCCAGCACCCCTGCAGGCTTAGGGGAAGGGGCTGGGGGTGGGAGCAGACCCAGGATGGGGCGGGGCTTAGAAGATGGGGTGTGGCTTAGGATATTGGGCGTGGTTCAGCATGTGTGGGCGTGGCCCAAGGTGGGGTGTGGTTAGAGAGGCGGGGCCTAGGATGGTGCTTGTGCTACCGTGAAGGCGTGGCCTAGGGTGCATGTGGTTTAGGGCGTGGAGGCGTGGCTTAGAGGGTGTGGGCGTGGCCCTGGGCTGGGCTTGGACTACCGGGGCGTGGCTTAGGGAAGGTTGGGGCGGGACCCAGGATGTGGATAGGGCAGACGTGGAGGGAGGCGGGGTCTAGACGATGGGGCCGGGATTCGAACTCATGCAGGGGCGTGGTCCAGTGCGGGGCCCAGGAAGGGCCGGTGGAGGGTGGAGCCTCGGATGGGGCGTGGCCTGGCGGCGAAGGGGCGGGGCTCGGCTGCAGAAGAGGAGCTCGCGGGCCTTGAACCCGGGTCTGGCACTCACCCGCGCCCTCCTCCAGGGCCCGCATCAGCGGCTTCAGCTCCTGCTCGAAGGCCAGCGCAGCCTCGGTGTGGCTCCGTCGCAGCTGGCGCCACGTGCGCTCCAGCCTGACCACCTGGGGGACCCCCAGCGCAGCCCCTGCAGTCTCCCCTCGCCACCTGGGGGACCCTCACCCAGCGCAGCCCCTGCAGTCTCCCCTCGCCTCCTGCCAGGCTGGGGGACCCCCAGCACAGCCCCTGCAGTCTCCCCTCGCCACCTGGGGGACCCCCACCCAGCACAGCCCCTGTAGTCTCCCTTCCCCTCCTGCCAGGCTGGGGGACCCCCAGCGCGGCCCCTGCAGTCTCCCCTCGCCTCCTGCCAGGCGCTCAGCCCGCACTTTCACCCGCACCTCCGTGGCTCCCTCTCCAGCCCGGCTTCCCACGCACCTGGGGCATGAGCAGGGCGCTCATGACGGCTGCAAACCCTGGCAGGTCCCCCGCCGCCCCTGGCCGCAGCTCCAGGGCCAGCTCCACCAGGCCCTTCAGAGCCGCTGTGCGCTCCTCCAGCGGTCCAGTACAACCCAGCACGGCCAGCGCCCCGGCCAGCGCCAGCGTCTCGTGCCTGGAGACACAGAGGACAGCAAGGGTCTGGGGGCAGTGAGCAGGCTTACAATGGGCATCTTGGTTGGGGGCGTGTGCGGGGACTCTGCCCACCCTTCCCTCCCTTTCTCTCTCTTCTCCTGGGTGGCTGTGACTGCGGAGGAACCTGGGACCCACTGGGGAGGCTCACCTCTCCAACACCTCCAGCCTGAAGTGATGGCCGTGGGGAAGCGTGAGCAGCTCCAGGCCAGAGGCCACCCCCATGGCGCGGCGCTGAGCTCGGGTCACGCCCAGGAGGCCTGTGGCCTGCACAGGAGGGAATGGCATGGTCAGGTCAGGCTGTGCTGAGCCCTTGGGCAGGAAACGCTCGGCGGTGACTCACCTGGCAGTCCTGCAGCAGCAGGTGGAGCGCAGTACTCCTGGGGTGATGTTTGAGGAACAGCCCCCGGAGAGTACGCAGGACATCTGGCTCCAGGGGCCGGTTCCGGGGGCCCAGCAGGCAGGAGGGATTGGCGGAGATACAGAAGGACACCTCGGCTTGGGGTCTTACAAAACATCCATCTTGTTCCTCCTCCTCCTCTTCCTCAGCCTCCCACCATCGGGGCTCCGGCTCGGGGCATCTTTGGCCAGGGGCCTGTTTCTTGGCATTGGGTATTCGGGGTACCAGCTCACAGTAAGGGGCATCGGGCAGTGCCAGCGAGGGGACCCGGGGGGGCTTGCTTGGTGCCTTGGCGTGAAGCTGCCCGTCGGAAGCCCTGAGGCTGTCGGCCATAAGCCCCAGGGCAGCTGGTGTCTTCAGCAACATGGGGTCGCTGCCTGTCCGGGGTAGGGTGGACGCCGACCTGTCAGAGGCTCCTAGGGGTAACAGGTGGGTGGGCTTTATCTGTATTGATTAATCATGTACCTTCAACCCTGCGAATGATACCCTGTGTGGGTGTGACATGCTTGCCCCCAGCCTAATCAGAACTGAAAGCATTTCAAGGGAGCCTGTGGTAGGAAGCCAGAGCCTTCCCAAGGACCCCGAGTTTGAGTCTGGGGTCAGGAACAACACTGTCCTTGTCGCTGGGGCCGGTGTGGTGGCAGAGTATACTGAGCCTCCAACATCCCATGTGGGCACCGGTTCGAGCCCCGACTGCTTCAACTTCCAATTCAACCCCCTGATAAGGTGCCTGGGAAAGCAGTGGTGAATGGCCCAAGATGTATATATATAAAGAGAGAGCTCGATCTTTCATCCGCTGTTTCACTCCCCATGTGGCCACAATGGCCAGAGCTGTGCCAATCCAAAGCCAGGAGCCTGGGTCTCCCACGCGGGTGCAGGGTCCCAAGGCTTTGGCCATCTTTGCTTTCCCAGACCACAAACCGGGAGCTGGGTGGGAAGCGGAGCAGCCGGGATTAGAACCGGTGCCCATATGGGATGGCAAAACAGGTACCATGCAGCAGCTAACTTCACAAGCACGTCTCCCTTGCTCCCACCCGCTGTGAACTGTTAAGCGATAGCCTACACAGTGCACTTAATATTATTGCTATGTTTATTATTTGGCTCATGGCGTGTCCTCCTGTGATAAACAGGAGATTGGTTGCCTGCGGGTAGGGAGTCTCTTGGTCTTTTGTGGATGAGGAGAGTCCCATCTGAGGCCATGTAGAGGGAGGGAGATTTTCCCACCCATGGTGGGAGCCTTACATGCAAAAGCCACGGGGACAGAAAGTTCCAGAAGTAGAAAGAATTGAAGTGAGTGAGTGGCCCGAGGTCAGCTGGGGTCAGGGCAAGCAGAGCGTCTGCTTTCCCAGGCTGTGTGGTTAAGGCACCCCGATTCTTGTCCCAGGGGTTCAGTTTCCCCCCTGCCTGCCATCTGAGGTTGTCCTGGTGGAGGGAGAGGGTCTTACCTGGTCCAGGGTGGTCCTGTCTGGAATGACCAGCACATTCCAAGTTGGCAGGCTCGCTGCTGCTCCACTTCCTGGCCCTGGTGGCATGGGGGTGGGGGTGGCAAGGAAAAGGTGGGGTTTGCCCCTGGAGTCGCAGGCCATAGCAGGAGATCAACAGGTGTTCTGAGCTCCTGGGGCCATGGGCACCTTCTTCCAGGATAGATTATGGGGACATTCTCCAGGCACGTGCCTCCAGCCCACCCATCCCCTGGGAAAGAGCAGGCTCCAATTCTCAACAGTGCCAGTGTGGTGGAGAAGCAGAGACGAAGAGAGCGAGAGCGGGTACCTTAGTGGCTCTGGCCGAGCTGGGCTGTCCTTCAGGGTGTCCTCGCTGAAGCTGCGCCGGAGTGGCCCCTGCCGACCCACGGGCCTGGAAGCCACAGCCCCCGTGGCTTGGGACAATGGGCGCTGGCCGGCCACGTAGCTGCGGACCAGGGCTGGCATGCTCGGGAACTGCTCATCTTCTAGCTGAAACAGGGCTGCTGGGCGGCCAGGCCGGGGGCGCAGCGTGATACGAAACACCTCAAAGTGCAGGACGGAGCCCTGCCAGCGGCAGGAGATCACGGGGTGACCCCCACCACGGGAGCCAGAGTCGCGCACCAAGAAGTCCCCGTCGTGCACCAGAAGAAATTCGGCCTTCTGAAGATGGAAGACGGGGTGCCGGGGGTTCAGCAAGGAGCCTGGACTTGCACTGATGGATGGGCGACTCCCTCCCCACTACACCCCATCCCATCCTGGGGAGACTTCTGTGGTAGGCAGGTGTGGAGTGCATCTCCCACACACCCTTGCTGTGAGTTTGGGACCTGGCCAGTGGGAGGTGGGCACTATACCCTGAACTGGTTCATAAAACAGTCCAGTTCGGTCCTCTGTCAACCTCGTAGGGGACCGTGACAAGTGCCCAGCCAGCCACCTCTCCCGCTGCCCTTGGGGGCCCGAGGTGGGAGGCCATGCTGGGATGGGGCACAGTACCTGCCGGGACAGGGGACCGTGGTACCAGGGCTGGTGGGCGAGGTCCTCTCCGTCCTGAGGTTGCTGCATGGAGCTGACAGTGGCCAGGGCTGCCAGGGTGGAGGTTGATACTCAGAGTCGTCCTCAGCGTTCCCCATCTGGAAAATGGGACTCATGAGCCTGGTTCCCCTGGCGGGCTCTGTGCGTCCTGTCACCCCTTGAGACACAACCAGGGGATGGTGGGACCGACGCAGGGGGAAGATGTTCTGTGCTAACACCATCTGAGTCACACACAGGCCTCACAGCCAGTCGATGTGGTTTTATATACGAAGCGGTAATTGAGGCAGATGTATCTAAAATGTGCAAAGGTATACAAATATATACAGGTGTATATAAATACTTACAAATGTATAAAATATACACATCTATGTAAATATGCACACCGGTATATAAAATATACAAGTGTATACAATAAATACAAATGCATATATATACACAGATATATATTAGAAGATACAAATGTGTACAAATACACACACAAATACATGCAAAAACACACATGTTGTAAATACACACAAATCTATAAGTTATAAATGTATATATCAAAGTATATAAGCTCGTCTATAAGTCAAAGCAGCCTGCATCATTTCAGCATGCTATATTTTACACATATTTACATATGCACGTATATTTACATATGCATAATTTGACACGCAAAATTTTAAGTTTCATTAGAACACACTGTGGTTCATTTTCCTCCATAGAAACATACCTGAATTAAAAGCATTTATGTATCATCAATATATATCAACATATTTCATGTTCACGCATGATCTTGTGGAGCTATATGTTTGTAATTGTGGTGCTCACGTATTTGCTATGCTATATACATGCCATTTCTATGTTAGGAACGTATGGATAAATTATAAATGCATGTGCAATAATCACGAAGCACACATTAAACAGACAAAATTGCCGTGTCACTTGCTTGTAAAATACACATTCCTATCTGTGACTGCATTTTGATACATATTTATGTCAGTTTTATGCATATTTCTGTGTAATTTTATAGAAGCGTATTTATAGTTTATATATAAAAAATCTGTAGAGCATTAAGCCAAAGGCTGGTATTACAGCATAATGGGTAAAGCCGCTGCTTGAGGCACCAGCATCCCATACGGGGGGGGGGGGGCACCGGTTCAAATCCCCGCTGCTCCATTTTCACTCCAGCTCCCTGCTAAGGGACCCACCCCGCTCTGATGCCATGCGTCCATTCCCTGGGCCCGGCAGGGTGGGGGAGGTGAGGCGCAGGGAGCTGGGCCCTGAGCCAGCATTGCAGTTAACTGGACAGTCCGGGTGGGGAGCACGCGGGTATAAGGGTGTGGGGGAGTCAGGAGACATTCCTTATGAGGTGGCCTGGGGAGGGGTCCTGCGTGCGACCCCAGAAGGCAGCACACTGCAAGCAGGAGGGGTGAACTCACACAGCCCCGGCTCCTTGGCCCCTTGAAATGGCAGTGTGGGGGGCTCCCAGGCTGTGAGGTGGTCCAAGCCCTCCCCTGCTTTAGCTGGCAAGGCCCGTGAAGCGCTCTCTCCCTCCGGGAGCAGCCTGGGCAGTTTCCAAGCCACAGGGTCCCCCGGGGTTTGGCGGAGTTTGTCCCTGTCCAATCGCATAGGTCGCAGTGTCTCCCGCGTCTGCTGGCAAAGTGACCCTGGACAAGAAGGAAGAAAAGAACCAGCCCCGTCCTCCTCCCCCTTCCCTCCCCTGCTAGCTCACCTGCTGGGGTCCCCTGGGTGTAGGAGTCCAGCTGTGGGCCAGGAAGTGTCCCTAGTGTGGCCACGGGCCCTGGCCGGGCAGGGAGGGACCTAGCTGACTCCTGGGACTACATACCTGAAACCAGGTGTGGCCTCGGAATAGCCGTGCATTTCCTGTTTGTCAGCTGCGCCAGGCCCTGCGGCCTCAGATTTACTGCAGCCTCTTCGATGCCAAGTTTATACCCAGAGCACCCCTCCCCTCTCTTTGCCCTACCAGCCTCTTGGCACTAACTGATGAATAAGTGTGTGTGGTGGGGGGCACCCGGCAAGGGGCCGACAAAGCCATCTGCAGCCTCCGGGGGTCTTCGGGGCCATTGTTTTGGGAAGAGGGTAGGTGGGGGGGAGAGAGTGGCAGTCCTGGACCCTACACCTCAGCATACACGTGTGGGGGATGCAGGGCGACACCCAGGCAAGCCTGGGCCCGGGGAAGGACTTGGGAGTGGACATTCCTGGGGAGCGGACATTAGCACAGCACAGAGCCGGGCTGCGGCCAGGCTGAGGCTGGGGGGGGGGGGGGGGAGGAGAGATTATAGGTGATTCTCCAGGGGAGTTGAGAGGGTACGTGGCGTGAAGTCTGGAGCGCCGTCCCCCGCCCCCCAGCAGGTGCAGAGTACCTGGGGAGCCCCCAGCGAGCAGCAGAAAGGGGGTGATCCGGAGAGGGTGTGGGGTGACCACGGGGCAGGGAGGGACCCCGGGTTTTAACCTGGAGCCCTCTGGATACAGCCTTGGAAGGGTGTGTTTGGGAAGGGGAGGGTGGCACGGTGTGTTCGCTGGGGCCCAAATGGATGCAGCAACAGGTTGCCGGAGCTGCCCCAACAAGTGCACGTCCGTCCAGGTGCACGCACATGCATGATGACCCCCTGGCTGACTCGCTCCTTCTGGGGTCCTGGGAGGGTGGGCTCTTGGAAAGAAAGAGAAGGCGCCACACCCCAATAGTTCCCTTGGTCCCCCCACCCCGAGAACCCCCTCCATCCTCACTCACCTGGACTACACCTCCAAGGTTCTCCTGAGACAGGCTGAGGCCAGGCAGCAACCGCGGATCTGTCGGCTGCAGGCCCCTCCCTGCCTGCCCCAGCCAGGCCCGGCCTCCCTTTGGGGGAGCCCCTGGGTGTGCAAAGAGGGAACCCCGCCTTTTGCAGGTCCCGCCCCTGCAGCAGTCCTGAAGCCTCAAACCACACCCCCTTTGTCTGTCACCCGCTTTCCGCCTAGTCCCCGCCCCCTCGGGGAAGTCCAGGTCCCTCCCCTTCGTGCCTGGCACCCCGCCCCCAGGACCCCGGAGCATGGTCCTTGCACCCCACCACTTGCCCAAGTATTAGGGTTCCCCCTACATCCCGGTTGCTGGTCACCCCGGGGAAGGGCTCTCGCACCCCCTGCTGGCCACAGGCGTCCAGGCATCCCATAGCCCGATGGTGCAGGCAAGGTCAGACAGGCCAGGGCTGACCAGGGCTGACCAGCCTGCAAGGAGGAGGACTCACGGAGCTGGGATGTGAGCCTCTGGGCCTAGGCTGTAGGTTTGGGATAAATGTCACTTATGGATTCCCTCGCCAGCCATGGGTGGAAAAGGAGACGTGATTCTGGGGTGGACCAGTAGGAGACCAGGCAGTGGCCATGAAGCCATGAGCTTGGCTCACAGAGCGGCAGTGACCTGGGGCAGGGCCAGGCTTTGTCCCTGAGGGAGGTGGGAACCATGGAGGGCTGGGAAGGGCCAGGTGCTCCTGGCATGGACTGGACCGCACTGGGTCCAGTCTAGTCCAGTCGAGCCATGGTGGGATTGGATTGCCCGGGCGAGGATGGGGTGTTGGAGGAAGGGCACGGTCTACCCTTCAACCAGTCCCTGCCATGAGCTGGCCACCCTAGCGGCCTCCAATCCTTCACCCTCCAATGCCCAGAGCCCAGGTTTGGGGTGGAGGAGCTGGGGAGAGCTAGCTGGCAGGTGCTCCCCACCCTCCTCCTCGCCACTGCAGCTCCTCCTCCTCCACCCCCTCCTCCTCCTGGGGCGACAGTTAAGAGGAAGTGGTAGTGCAGGCTGTCGCTCTCAGAGTGAGCGGGCGGGCGGGCAGGCGGTGGAGGCCTCCAGGGTGCGCGGGGCCGGGCCTGGCCTGGCTTGGCAGAGCAGCGGGCCGGGCTGGGGTGGGGGACCATGGAACTATGGCGTCAGTGTACCCACTGGCTGATCCAGTGCCGGGTGCTGCCACCCAACCACCGTGTGACCTGGGAGGGGGCTCAGGTGTGTGAGCTGGCCCAGGCCCTGCGCGATGGCGTCTTGCTCTGCCAGTTGCTCAACAACCTGCTGCCTCATGCCATCAACCTCCGGGATGTCAACCTGCGGCCCCAGATGTCCCAGGTGAGCTTGGAGGCGGGAGGGAGGGGGGCTCAGAAGCGGTCCCCTCCCACCCCGTGATGGCTGGGGCTCCCGGGGTGGGCGGCCAGGCCTTCACCTGGTTCTCATCTGGGCGGAGCGGAATGCTGACGTTACATTGAGGGGTTCCAAACCCCTCCCGATGGGACGAGCTGAGGGGCATATCCTACGTGTGTGAGCATGGGGGGGTGTCCCTGGTAGCCCTAAGTGACCTTGAGATTTGGTCTCCTTGGATGGGATCCCCCTGCAACACACAACCTGACACCCCCAAATTCTGGAGGTGGGGGAGGGGCCGCCACCACCCTCCCCCCCCCACATGTCCTCTCCCGCGGCCTGAGCCTCAGCCCCTTCCTTCCCCTCGTATCTTCCTTCCCTTCAGTTTCCTGCCTGAGCCCCGGGGCACTGTGGGGTGCATGGGGGGCCCAGAATCTCAGAGTCTAGCTCAGGTCCCGGGACTTTGGAGCTTAGAAGTACAGTCTTTCTCTCTCCCCCCCGCCTCTCCTTTTTTCAGCTTCAGGGAGAGGCAAGAACTGACTGTAGCTGCCTCCCCCAGCTTACCACCCCCCACCACCACCACCACTGAGTGCAAGATTTGTATTCAAATCCTGATTTGAATGTGGTTGGGGCGGGCCTGGTACCATGGGCCTAGGAGGAGGCCGAGCCTGTCCTGGGCGTCTCAGGAGATGGGGCCCTCTTGTGAGGGGGACCTCTGGGGACACAACCACCTCCCCACCCCCACTCCCTATCGCAAGAAGGTGGGGGTCTGTCTCCCCCAGCCTCCCCACTATAGGATGATGGCTTGTCCCTGATGAGCTGGGGGACCTGTGATTGAGGCCAGCTGGACGCAGCGGGGCCTCCTTCCTGGCCGGAGGGGTGCCTGTGGCTGGGAGAAGGGGAAGTCGCACACTTGGGGGGGTCTGGCAGGGGGATTTCTCGGGGGCCGGGCTATAGCAGGGAGAAGAGACCCAGGTACTGTCTTCATCTGGTGCCCTGGGGCTCAGCCCTGGCAGGGGGCGGGGTGCGGGGGGTATGGAGAGGAGGGGTGGGTAACCCATCCTGAATTTGCCTTCATTTGCCTGATGGCTTGGCTCCCAGAGCAGGAGGAGGAAGTGGCTGAGGGATCTGTGAGGCCCCAGATGTGGCCCTGAGTGGCAGGGCCTTGTAACGCTGCTGGCGGGAAAGTGGCTAGACTTGAGGGTGAACTTGAGCTCTGCGTGTGGCCGAGCTGAAGCCGGATCACGGCGTGACTCCACAAGGGAGCAGTCATCCTTGGAGGAGAGCTCCGCGTCTCGGTATCAGGCCATGCTAGGAGCTGAGCCGAGGCGTTGTGGTGGTCCTGGACTGGGGCACGCAGAGCACCCCCTCCAACTGTCATGACCTAATCCTGTGCGCTCTCGTCTGGAGCTTCGGGCTGTGGGCATGGCACTGCCTGGCACTGTCTACATGTGTGTGTGGTCTTGAAGAAGCAGAGGACTTTTCTCCTTGTGTCACCTTCGGCTGTGTCGGGCCCCTGGCTGGGTAGGGGTGTTTCCTAACAGGTGGGGGCTCTGTGACTCCCTTCCTCCACCCGTGTCATCTCCCTGTGACATTCCATCGGTGCATGGGGGTGTGGGGGTGTGTATGGGAAGCTGCAGGGTGCTCACGGCAAGCGACCTCCGTGGAAGGGCAAGGGGAGGGGACTCCACAAGGGGGAATGACACATAAACAAGGGTTTTTCTTTACAGAACCTCTTCTGTGCATCCGCCCACCCACCCATCCATCCATCCATCCACACATACACCCACCCATCCATTCACTCATGTACCCATCCATCCATCCACACATCCACGCACCCATCTATCCATCCACCCACCTACCCATCCATCCATCCATCCACCCATCCATTCACTCGTGTACCCATCCATCCATCCATCCACACATCCACACATCCACACACCCAACCCATCCATCCATCCACACATCCACCCACCCATCTATCCATCCACCCACCTACCCATCCATCCATCCACACATCCACCCACCCATCTATCCATCCACCCACCTACCCATCCATCCATCCATCCACCCATCCATTCACTCGTGTACCCATCCATCCATCCATCCACACATCCATCCACACATCCATCCATCCACCCACCTACCCATCCATCCATCCACCCATCCAACCCAGTGCTGCGTGTGCCTGGCCCTGTTCTCGGCTGGGCAGTTATGGTCTTCTGTTGATAACAAGCTTGGGTCACCTGTGGGAAGCCGATGGTGAACAACTGGGGCCATGCCTGCATTGCAGGTGGCGTGGTGCGTGTTGAAGAAACAGCATGAAAGGGGGTTGGGAGTGCTGCGTGGCACTTTTCCCCCTGGTTGTCACTGGTGTGTAACATGGTCCATGTGGGTGGGGTACTGCGTGCTATCTCAGTATGTGTATCATGTTCGAATCAGAGTGAAAGCATCTTCCCTAACACCATGTTTTTGTGTTGAAAACTTTTTAAAAAGATGTACTTATTTTGATTGGAAAGGCAGGTTTACAGAGACGGAGAGACACAGAGAAAGATCCTCCATCCACTGGCTCCCTTCCCAAGCAGCTACAACAGCGGAGTTGTGCCAATCTAAAGCCAGGAAGCTAGCACCTCTTCCGGGTCTCCCAGGCAGGTGCGGAGTCCCAAAGCTTATGTGCTGTTCTCCACTGCTTTCCCAGGCCACAAGCAAGGAGCTGGGTGGGAAGTGGAGCAGCCTGGATTAGAACCAGTGCCCATGTGGGGCCGAGGTGCATGCCTTTAGCCATTAGGCTATTGTGCCGGGCCCAGGATAAGAGAACTTCTAAGCCCTGTCTAACGTAGCAGCTGTTAGTCTCTCACCCTCATCTCCGCCCTCATCCCAGCTCCTGGTAACTGCCACTCCACACGTGTCTTGTATGAAATCAGCTCCTTTCGGATTCCGCATGGGAGTGGGGTGCAAAGGCAGCTCCTGGCTTACTGCGTAACAGCCTCTCCTTCCTTCCGCATGGCACACGTGGCAGGATTGCACCCTCTCCGGAAAGATTGCGTAGTTTGACATCAATTAGGGGGCCTCGCTGACATGGCGACACTGTGGACCTGGGGCAGCAGTGGGCTGAGCAGGTTGTCTGGCCTGTTCATGCAGAGGCCATGGGGTAGGGGCGCAGGTGCCTGCGTGGCGATGCCTGGAGGGAGTGATGGTTGGGGACCTTATGGAGACAGGTTGAGGCCGGGCAAATTCTCCTCGCACATTCCGTGTTGGGGTGCGAGACTGGAGCCAGAAATTGGCTCTGAGGCCAAGTGACAAAGAGTGACTCTTTTTCAAAATTATTAAAAAAAAAAATTTTTTTTTAAGATTTATTTATTTTTTATTGGAAAGGCAGATACACACAGAGAGAACAAGAGAGACAGACAGGAAGATCTTTTGTCCGATGACTCACTCCGCAAGTGGCCGTGACAGCTGGAGCTGAGCTGATCTGAAGCCAGGAGCCAGGAGCTTCTTGGTCCTAAGGCTTTGGGCCGTCCTCCACTGCTTTCCCAGGCCACAAGCAGGGAGCTGGATGGGAAGTGGGGCAGCTGAGACATGAAACAGTGCCCTTATGGGATCCCAGTGCGTGCTAGGTGAGGAGTTTAGTCCCTAGGTGTTGTGGGCTAAGGAGTTGACTAGCACTCGTTAAGCCGAACGGAGTGGGCTTGGGGCTAGAAGCACCTGGTCTCAGCTGTATCCAATATGCGCTAATGAGGGTGTGGGAGAAAGAGTAAACAAGACCTCCAGGTCTCCCACGTGGGTGCAGGGTCCAAAGGCTTTGGGCCGTCCTCTGCTGCTGTCCCAGGCCACAGGCAGGGAGCTGGATGGGAAGTGGAGCTGCTGGGATTAGAACCGGTGTCCATATGGGATCCTGGCAAGTTCAAGGAAAGGACTTTAGCCACTGGGCCACTGCACCAGGCCCAGTGACTCTTCTTTCAAAACACTTCTCTCTGTGTAGCAAGCTAAGCCTCCACCTGTGGCACCAGCATCCCATAGGGGCACTGGTTCGAGTCTTGGTTGTTCCACTTCCCATCCAGCTCCTTGTTTGTGGTCTGGAAAGCAATTGAGGATGGCCCAACTCCTAGAGTCACTACACTTACGTGGAGAAAGTTCCTGGTTTCGAACCAGTTCAGCTCTGGCCATTTGGGGAGTGAACCAGGGGCTGGAAGTTCTCTCTCTCTTTCTCCCTGTAACTCTGTCATTTCAAATAAAAGTAAATAAATCTTCAAGAAAACACCTTTCTTGTAGGATGTGTTAGATCCACGTAGCATTTCCACGAACTGCAGTGTGTGATGCCTTGGTGGGGGATGGGCTGTGGCTGGCTCGAGCAGCTCTCGCTTCAGACGCATGGCTGTCTGCCTGATTGTCACACCAGCGACCCTGTGACCCTCTGGGTCAGCTTTTTACAGGAGCCGGAGAGGCAGAGAGAGAGAGGATGGGGTGGAAGCTCCCTACTCATGTTTCACACCCCAGGCAGGTGCATTCCTGGAGTCTGGACCGGGCAGGAGGAAGTTGGGAGCTTGGGGTTCTAGGTGGGTCTTCCACATGGGTGGCAGGGACCCAAGGCACCTGCTGCTACCCAGCAGCCCAGGGTGGGTGTGAACAGGGGACTGGAGTCCGGAGTGGGAGCCAGGACTCCAACGGATATATCAACCTTTTTAAAAAACTGTGTGGCTGAATGGGGTGGCCACCCCTCGCCTCGCTGCTGATGAATACTTGGCAAGTGTTGAAAGTCAGTAATAAAACATCCACTCCAGTCAACAGCCTGTCACTGTATCTTCCGTGTCAACACACACACACATCACCACACACACACATCACGATACAAGGTGACACATGTATCAATTCATCTACCTTGAAAAGCAGAGTTAGGAGAGGAGAGACAGAAAGATCTTTCATCCACTGCTTCCCTCTGCAGGTGACTGTCACAGCCAGGACTTGGCAAGGCCGAGGAGCCAGGAGCTCCA